GAAGGCAGTCGCTTAACCAACTGAGCCACCCAGGTGCCCCTGACATTATTAAATTCTTTCCAGCTCTAAAAACCTTTGGTTTTATTATCCAGGGGATAAATGCTATTCTTATGAAAATCCATTCTTGTTGAGAACTCTTTGGGGAAAATCATAGGAAAATTCCCCATACTAGCTAAACTTTTTAGGGAAAGTGAACTCCCAAATCCTAGATTATTTTCTTTTGATACATTAAAAATGGTAAAATTAGTGAAATTACTTTTATGCCATTTTGCCAGAGAACTGTATGTTCAGTGTTTTGTTTTTCAACATTTCCAAAAAATGACAGGTTGGAATTTTAAAGAGTGCAGGGAATTTCTTAAGCCTGAATATTGTCTAAATACAGACTCAGGAGGGAAAAAAAAAAAAAACTGGCTGCAGAAACCCTCATGGTTTTTAAGAGAAGTTATTATTTATGCAAACATTGTCTTGGCTTAATTAAATATTTTAATTAAAAGTTACGATTCAGTGTAAGCCCTTGTCTGGCTTGAGAAAGCTGGTTGGGGCAGCTTTCAATAGCAATGGAACTTGACTGCTCTGTGTTCGATTTGTTAGGTCTGGCTCAGTGCGCCGAACTCTGCTGGCAGCTGAGAGGGGAAGCCGGAAAACGGCAAGTTCCTGGTGCAAAGGTTGCTCTGCAGCATAATTTAGGCATTGGAGGAGCTGTGGTTGTGACGATCTACAAGATGGGTTTTCCTGAAGCTGCCAGGTGAGTGGCATTCTGGGTTTTGTCTGTTAATGAATCCTGACTTTTCGCAGCTGATGACGTTGTACAAGTATCAAGTCCAGATTTTATTGTCTTAGTAAATATCCAGTTACTTCGCTTTGGTACCCTGGCTTTAAAACCTTTAAACTGGCAGTTAGCTTTTAAACCTAACTAGCCTTAGGAAAATTGTGTTTAAAAAGGAGGCAGCATAAGGGCTCCTGGGTGGCTCAGTGGCTTAAGGGAGGGACTCTTGATCTTGATCTGACTCAGGTCTTGATCTCAGGGTGGTGAGTTCAAGCCCCGCGTTGGGCTCCGTGCTGGTTGTGGAGCCTACTTAAAAAAAGAAAGAGGTAGCATAGTCAAGAGAGTGCTGACCTGAAACTACTTGTCTTAGACGTGCCAACCGGAGTGATTTTAATTTAGGCAAGTTCACTTTTTTGGTTTTCTTTCTCAAAATTGCTTTCTCCCTGAATAGCCTCCCAAGCTTCTGAGGTTGTTTGGAGAAAGTTATCAAATATGCTAATTGGGTCTCTGCACGTGTATGTTTCTGAATGCCCTTCAGCCCTCACTGCTGCTAGAATCCCTTTTGTCTCTTGCTCATTTTCTTCCTGTCCTTACCAAATGCCTGTGCTCCTCAAATCTACAAGCGCTTTCTGTTCCAAGCCTTTCAGGATCCCTGAACTTCCTTGCTCTTGTCTCAGAAGTGCTCATTCATCCTTCCCATAGACAAAAAGTCCCTCTTCCTTTCCAAGGCCTGGCTGTAGTCTCCACATGCTTTTGTTTCCAACCACGTTCTGTAACTTTGTTCCAAGTATACCCTCTCCCTTTTGGATCTTTTCATCTTTGCTTTTCTGTTAACTCCTTTCCTTCTGTTGCAAACATGGTCAGGTCTTACATATGATAAAAATTTATTTTTCTTCTTGCCTTATTTTCTGTTGTGATGAGCCTTTTATACTGGGCCACCTTTTTTTTTTTTTTTTTTTTTGGCCCATGCTAAAATATCTATCTTACGGTCTATTTTTTGTCCTCACCACAGAGGTCAGGTAAGGCTACTAGTGATGTGATTATGAAATGTCCCTGTCCTTGTTTTCTGTTCTTGTTCTCTTTAACCTTGCTGTAGCTGTCAACACTAATTGGCTCCCTTTTTTCTCCTGAAATTCTTGGTAATTATTTATTTATTTTTTCACACTTTTGGTTCCACAAAGGATATGTGACACACTTTTCAGAATCCATTATATTCTTATGTTTTACAAGCTCTAGAGTCTCTTCTGTCTGTCCTTTCACTTTTCTTTCCCTGCCTGGAATATCATTTCTATTGTGAAAATTCTATCATTGAAGGCCCATCTCTGGTATCATCTCCCTTTAAATATCCACAACACTTTGTACCTCTTGGACTCATATCCAGTTTTGGCTTAGTATATCTACATTTTTACTTCCCTTATATGAAATCCTTGAGGCCTAAGGCTGTAGTGACTTCTCTCCACCCTTGTAAGAATCTCTGACATAAAGAGTGAATGTTCCTTGAATTGAATCAAATAAAAAGTTGTTAAAATGTTGAATTTTCTGGGGCGCCTGGGTGGCTCAGTTGGTTAAGTGACTGTCTTTGGCTCAGGTCATGATCCCGGAGTCCCGGGATGGAGTCCCGCATCGGGCTCCCTGCTCAGCGGGGGGTCTGCTTCTCCCTCTGACCCTCTTCCCTCTCGTGCTGTCTCTCATTCTCTCTCTCAAATAAATAAATAAAATCTTTAAAAAAAAAAAATGTTGAATTTTCCAGTTTCCTCCTAAAGGTGATCACCAATCTGTACCGTCTTCTAGAATTTCATCCAGCTCATATTTGACATTAAAAACCCTCGGTAAAAGCCAAATTCTAAAGAGCTACTGGAGTCAGCATATTAGTATAGTATCTAATTTGCTCAGATTAGAAGTTTATGAATTTGGGACAGTACATTCTGGGAGATTGATTTGGTTCAAAATACGTACAGTGTTATTTGTGGGAGGGCAGAAGTATGAAAAAAATCCAGATGATATACAGGTCTCCCCTGCTATCCAAAAGTAGAACAGTCCTTTGAAATTTTTCTTAAACCAAAATGGTGTGAGGCGAAGAAGCAACTACCATTAACTTATATGGAAAAATTTTTGAGTGTTTCCCAGACCTCCAGAATAACCTCTTTTATGCTTTTCTGATACCTTAGGACACATCTTGCTAACGGATGTACAAAATAAATTGAGATAAAGCACAGATGCTCACAGGCACAGTTCAAAGCTGTGGCTCCCTGCTGAGTGTAGTTCTTGGGGAGAGAACTTGGGGGAGGTGCCACTCTCCATCTGCACCCTGCCTCTAAAATGGCTTGCTGCAAAACAAACGGTGATTGCTATTATCTCTTTTTACCTTTTTTTTT